CAGGCTGCCGTCGCGAAACCACTGAACGCGTGGTACGGGATGTCCGACAGCCGGACACTCCAGAGTGACGCTGCGGTTGACGATCACCTCAAACACTGTTTCGACAGCGTCACTGATGTACGGCGGAACTGCAAGCAGACGACACGCACGCGCGCACGCGGGGTGAGACTGAGAGACAGCAGGGATTCAGTTACAGGTGGTGATTCACATAATTAACTCAATTAATATATTATTAATTATTAATTAATTATTCACATTTACCGAGAGTAATTACTCTAGATTTCACGTCACTATCCTGTTTAACTGCGATAGTGTTTGCGTTACTACTCATGTATTACAGGGCGCTAGGATCGGTATATATGGACCCTCAGACCTGCCAACCTGTGATTCATGAAAATAGTAAGGCTTTTATTTTCTTGCAGCAGGCGGCCATTTTGTTTGTATGTTATGCGCGCAATGAATGATGGGACTAACTCTAGATCACGCGAGAATAACGTGAACGCGTGATCCAATATGGCTACGCCCACAATCGCCAGACATTTCTCGGCTCACAATGTAAAAAACACATTAATTTTTTTTAAGTCTTAAAAAATCGTAAATTTTTCAGTTTGATCGTACATTCGTAAAAACATCTTGGAATTAGTAAGGAATACGACAAAATCGTAAGGGTTGGCAGATCTGGACCCTATATATATATATATGAGGTAGGCAATAGAACAACATTCGACAATCGTAGAGTTATCGGTTTAGGGCACGCGCGTTACTTCAGTGATCTGTGCAATAATTGTAGTTACCGAGCACGTCCAGCGTGATATCTTTCCGTGCCTCGCCCGCACTATTTCGCGCCTCGCACGTGTAGACGCCGGCGTCCTGCGCAACAACGCCATCTATGAGCAGCTGCTGTCCCTGCTCCGTCACCATCGCGTGGTCGGTGAGCGCCATCTGGCGGCTGTTTTTCGACCACGTGATCTGCGGCTGCGGCGCTCCGGACGCGATGCATTCCAACACGACGGTGTCATTAATGATCACCTGCATCGTGATGCCAGACGCCGTATCATCGATGCTAGGAGGCACTGCAGTCAATCACACACACGATTAGTACCACCGTCGGCCACTAGAGGGCGGGTAATGAGACGTTAGAATTTCGTAAACTTCGTGTTGAGCGGTTGCACGGTGTTTATGGGCCTGCCGTGGATCGAACCGAAAATGAGAAAGATTTCATGAGTGATTTTTCATAATTATGTAGCTAATCTTGTAAAGTAATTGCCGTGGATGCTTGCCTGTGGTAATACAACTGATCTGGGTCACATAGAGTGGGCTCAGGTCTCTCTATCCTCACCCAGGGCGTACCCCCCCCCCTCCGATGGTAAGTTGCTTTAAAGATCATATATAAATAGGAAAATAGATTACAGTAATCTATTTTTGTCATAAAGAGTGTTGATCCAAGATGCGTGTGTGTCTGTGCGCACGCGCATGTCTGTATTTGTGCATGTGTGCGTGTCTGCATGTGCGTGTGTCTATTTGTTTGTGTGTGCGCGCGTGCGTGCGTGTGTGTGTGTGTGTGTGTGTGTGTGTGTGTG